GCTCCTGAATTTCAATTGCTTTTTATTGCTTCTTTAATGAAACAATTGACTATTGTTATTAGGCCTAATGAAGCAGCCATGATTGAAAAGGTTGCCCAAGATGTTTTGAAAAAAACTATGACACCATCAGATGATTTTGGCGACTTCGTGGGGATTGAAGCTCACCTAGAGGCATTGAAAAAATTGTTGTGCTTCAAATCTGAGGAAGCTAGAATGGTCGGGATTGTCGGCACTTCAGGGATTGGTAAGAGTACCATAGGAAGAGCTCAATACAGTCAACTATCTAGCCAATTCCATCTTCGGGCTTTTGAAACTTGTAGGAGAACCATCGGAGATGACTATGAGCAAAAGTTGTATTGGGAAGAACAAATTCTGTCGAAAATGTTAGGTGAAAAAGACTTAAAGATAGAGAAAGTAGGTGCGGTAAAAGAAAGGTTAAATGAGAAGAAAGTTCTTATCGTTCTTGATGATGTGAATGATCTAGAGTTTCTTAAAACCTTGGTGGGAAAAACTGAATGGTTTGGACCTGGAAGCATAATTATTGTGATCACTCAAGATAGGCAACTTCTCAAGGCTCATGATATTAACCTTATATATGAGGTGAAGCTCCCATCTCAAGGTCTTGCTCTTACGATGTTATGCCGATCTGCTTTTGGGGAAAACACTCCACCTGATGATTTTCGGGAGCTCGCAGTGAAAGTTGCAAAGCTTGCGGGCAATCTTCCTTTGGGCCTCAGTGTCTTGGGTTCGTCATTAAGAAGAAGGGAAAAAGATGAGTGGATGGATTTGTTGCTTGAGCTCCAAAATGGTTTGAACGGAGATATTATAAAAACATTAAGAGTCAGCTACGATAGATTACATGAAAAAGATCAAGATATGTTCCTTTACATTGCGTGTTTATTCAATGGTTTTGAAGTCAGTTACGTCAATAATTTACTTAAAGATAATGCTCGGCTTACAACGTTGGCTAATAAGTCCCTCATACGTATTACACCCGAAGGATATATAGAGATGCACAATTTGCTAGAGAAGTTGGGTATAGAAATTGATCGTGCAAAGTCCAATGGTAATCTTGGAAAACGTCGATTTTTGACGGATTTTGAGGATATTGAAGAAGTACTTACCGAGAAAACTGTAAGTCTTTACCAGCTGCCTTTTAATGCATGACTCTATATTAATATAGTCGTCATATGGGTATTGATAAACTTTAACAATTGTTGCCTCCTGCTTAATTAAAGCGTGGCTCTTTTGATGTCAGAAAAATAAAAATTGTTGCGGTTGTTAAAATTATAGTTTTCTTTGAATTTTTTCAGGGCACAGAAACAGTTCTCGGAATACGTCTCGACGCATATTACAGACCTCTCTACACAGATTACATACGTCTCTACACAGATTTCTGGGAAAAGCGATTATTATCAATAGATGAAAAAGCATTCGAAGGCATGCATAATCTCCAATATCTATCAGTTCGTAATCGGATAAATATAAAACTAGCTCGGGGTCTCGTTAGTTTGCCCCATAAACTCAGATTGCTAGAATGGGATTATTTTCCATTGCAATGTTTGCCTTCTAATTTTAAGGCTAAGTATCTGGTTGAACTCAGAATGAAGAATAGTAAGCTTGAGAAGCTGTGGGAAGGAACTCTGGTACTAATTCTAAATTTTATTAGTTGTCAATTTTTAGAATGGATCTGTGGTATATTTATCAATATATATATGTTAGAAAAGCTTAAAATGAATCTGTTTAAAAATATTTGTGAACTTGTGTATTCTCTAATTCCATATTTTGTTTTCAGCCACTTGGAAGCCTTAAGAAGATGAATTTGTGCTTTTCCAAATATTTGAAAGAAATCCCCGATCTTTCTAAAGCCATAAACCTCGAGGAATTAGATCTTGTTGGATGCTCATCTTTGGTGACACTTCCTTCCTCGATTCAGAATGCCATCAAACTGAGGAAGTTAAATTGTTCGGGAGAGCTATTAATAAATTCAGAATCATTAGAAGGCATGCGTAATCTCCAATATCTATCAGTTTTTAGTTGGTCAGATATGGATCTACCTCAGGGCCTCGTTTATTTCCCCCATAAACTCATATCGCTATACTGGAATTATTTTCCATTGAAGTGTTTGCCTTCTAATTTTAAGACTGAGTATCTGGTTGAACTCATAATGGAGAATAGTAAGTTTGAAAAGCTGTGGGAAGGAAATCAGGTACTTATTCTATTAGTGGTCAATTTCTAAACATATATATGTTAGAAAAACTAAAATTGAATCTGTTTAAAATGTTTATGAACGTGTGTATTCTCTTTTCTCCTATTTTGTTTTCAGCCACTTGAAAGCCTCAAGAAGATGTTTCTGCGTGGTTCCAAATATTTGAAAGAAATTCCAGATCTTTCTAATGCTATCAACCTCGAGGAATTAGCTCTTTCTGGATGCGAATCTTTGGTGACACTTCCTTCCTCGATTCAGAATGCCATTAAACTGAATTGTTTAGATATGAGGGGTTGCACAAAGCTAGAGAGTTTTCCAACTCATCTCAACTTGAAATCTCTGGAGTACCTCGATCTCACTGGATGCCTAAATTTGAGAAATTTCCCTGCAATCAAAATGGGAAATTCAGACGACTTTCTGCTAGCTAGTATATTTGAGATCGTGGTAGAAGATTGTTTCTGGAACAAGAATCTCCCTGGACTCGATTATCTCGACTGCCTTAGGAGATGTATGCCTTGTAAATTTAGCCCAGAATATTTCGTTAGACTTGATGTGAGAGGCAACAAGCTTGAGAAGCTATGGGAAGGCGTCCAGGTACATTGTTAATATTATAGCGATTTCCTACTTTTTGTTTACCCTCTGTTATATAACTAATTAAGTATTAACCAAAATTGTCAAAAATGGCTTGTGATCCACGGTTATTTCTTAGATACATAATGATGTATAGTTATAATTTAAAACATATATAGGTATAAAATTAAAATGATTATATATATCATTGATAATGATTGAAGCATACCAATGTTTCTTTTTCTTTTTAATTTCTGTTTCAGTCGCTTGCAAGTCTTGTGACGATGAATATGTCAGAATGTAAAAACTTGACAGAAATTCCAGATCTTTCAAAGGCCACCAATCTGAAGCGTTTTTATCTCAGCGGGTGCAAAAGTTTGTTGACACTTCCTTCTACAATTGGGAATCTCCAAAACTTGGTGGAGTTGGAAATGAAAGAATGCACAGGGCTGGAGGTTCTTCCAACCGATGTCAACTTGTCATCTCTGGATATCCTCGATCTGAGTGGTTGCTCAAGTTTGAGAAGTTTTCCTGTGATTTCATGGAATATCGAAAGGCTCTATCTAGAAAACACTGCCATTGTAGAAGTTCCCTGCTGCATTGAGGATTTCTTGTGGCTCACTGTACTAATGATGTATTGTTGCCAAAGTTTGAAAAACATCTCCCCAAACATTTTCAGAATGACAAGTCTAAAGCTCGTCGACTTTACAGACTGTAGAGGTGTCATCATGGCGTTGAGTGATGCCACTGTGGTAGCGACAGTGGAAGATCACTTTTCGTGTGTACCATTACATGAAAACATTGAATATACACGTGAACGTGTCTGGGATCAGTTTTATGATGATTACTTCGAGGTAGATCGGGACTTACTTAGGGAATATTTTAGCTTCCGTAATTGCTTCAAATTGAATAGAGATGCCCGAGAACTCATCCTACGATCATGCTTCAAGCCTGCGGCCTTACCAGGTGAAGAAGTGCCTACGTATTTCCAATATCGAGCTTATGGAGATTCCCTAACTGTCACTTTACCTCAGAGCTCTCTTTCTCAATACTTCTTGCTATTTAAGGCTTGCGTCGTGGTTGACCCTCTCTCCGAGGGCGAGGGTTTGTATACATCCTTGATGGTTAACGTTGGCTTCAGTGGCACACTGTATCAGAAATCATTTTTTGAAGATTCAGAACTGCAGTTTTGTGAGACGGATCATCTGTTTTTCTGTTCATTCCAGTTCCACCATGAAGACCTTCCATGTAAATTGACTCTCAACGATGTGGAGTTTAAGTTTTCTTGCTCCAAGATGATAAAAGAATGTGGTGTACAACTCTTGAATGTCTATCCATCTCCAGATGGTAGTGATGGAAGCTCTGAAACAGAGTACAACCAACCGACTAGGAGAAGCAAGAGTCGGATGCGGGTAAGCCTTTTGCCATAATTAGAGTTGAAAATTATAAAGATATCTTTTGACTTTTGATATGTTTTTCCAGGATCGAAATTCCATAGCGACAGACTATTTAATAGAATCGATCGTTTGATTTATAATGCAGATGACATCGGGAACATCTGAAGAATATATCAACTTAGCCGGTGACCAAATTGTAGCGGACACAGGATTGGCCGCTCTAATTTTGGAGCTTTCGTTAGGGCATGGAGAAGCATCATCAGTCTCTTCTTATCCATCTCTGGAGGGGGAAGCTTTGTGTGTTGATTCCATGATAACTGAAGAACAAGCTGACCAAATTCCTATCTTGTATCCTGTTTCTGGTAACTGAAGCATCTTATTATTCTGTTTTGCTCTGTTTTAGGATAACTTGGGATCGACCATGACTATAATGATAATTACAAGATGAGATTTCATAGGTTTTGACACGAGCCATTTTTTTCTGCAGATGGGAAGATCTTTCGGAGAATCAAATGCCGTTAAATTCTCCAACTCTGGAGCCTGAAAGTGTTTGTAATTTCTTCTTTATCTGAATGTAGAAACACTCTGTGTTTGCTTTGAAAATTTCGCTTTTCCTGAAAGAATAAATGTTTCAAAAAGCCACACTTTAGCATATTCTGGAAAAACATCTTTGGCATGGTTTTGTATTGTACATCATACATCTATCTATTTTTAATAAAGACATTGAATTTGTGAGCTTAAGGTTTACATACTTGAACTCACCTACTAGCCAAAATAGTCTTTGCTTGTTAAAAAAACATAGATCTCAATGTGTATGTTAGCAAAGGTTGTTTCTCTTTTTATTAGCAATGAATAAATCAGACTTGGGGTAGAGAAAAATGTATATCGCAAATTCACAAGAGAATTGACAACAAGAATGTGTTGGAACTAATTTATATTAGCAAGATCCTCGTCATCAGCAACATTTGCATTGCTGATTCAATAGCCAAAATTGGCTTAACTTCGGCCAAAGATGTGACCAGCGTCCTTGAGGTGAAGGGACGAGCTTTCAAACTTTCTGCACGAGACATTGTCTGGTCCAACCATAAAGTATATCATCCAGCTATCCTACATATGAGAAACATGTCGCTGCTGTTCCGGGGAAAGCTGACCCCAATGCCGCTGCACTCTTTAATTATATGGTAAAGAGCGAAAGTGGGTTTTAGCTTCCGAGTTACTAGTTATTATAAATATTGTGCCTTGACTCCTTGAGATGAAAGTTGTAGGCCTGAACTACTCATTAGAATATCTACGATGGGAAGCTAATTCTCTGTGGCTTTTCTTGACTGAATTGGTTTGCATCAAGGGCCTAAGATAGACGTGTGATCTGCGGCACTTACTCTGTTATTATACCTCATGATTGTAACGACACCTTTCACTGCTGACCCTGCACAGTTATGATCTGCCTTCACTGAATTCACCATCACATTGTTAAGATTCCTTTCCACAGTTTATAACATTGTTAAGGTAACCTGAAACATATTACAACTCTGTTAGTCTGTTTTGTAATGAACTTGGGATCGACCATGACTATAATGGTAATGACATAACGATATCTTAGTTTTTCACACAAGCCATTTTATCCTGCAGATGATGGAGCACTTACTGACAACTAGAAACCTTTTATGGCTCCATGTCCACAACAGAAGCACTCTCTGTTCTTACATCTCTCTGTTTTGCTTCTTTGAAAATTTCACTTTCCTGAAAAGATGTAAATATTACAGTCTTTTCTTTTGAAACACATATCTCTCTCTCCGTGTATGTTACCAAAGGTTATTTATTCTCTCTTTAAAGCAATGAATAAATCATAATTTTGGTAAACAAAAATGTATTTCATAATTTCACAAGAGAATTATCAACAACAACAAAGTGTTGGAACTAATTTTAAATAGCAAGACCTTCCTCATCAGTAAGAATTGCATCGCTGCTACCATGGCGTTTCCTACACTCACAGTAAAAAACAGTGATTACAACATAACTCAGCACCACCTCAGCCCCATACATACAAACCAGCTTCCACCCGTCCCATCCACCGGCCACAACCACCGACCTCCACCACGACCCTGAGCTCGAGTCCATATCTAGCTCCTTCGCCAACTTCTCCATCCCATGACCAATGAAACTCGATAGAAACACAAATACACCCGCCAAAGCCAACCCTGTTATCCTCCTCCCTTTCATCAGAGCGGTTCCTTCCTTAATCGCATCAAAACCATATCTTTCTTCCAATACAGAGACGACAAGGCCAAGCCCTGTTATAGCCATTATGTATACCTCAATGCCGAGACTGAAGACCATGATGAGATAACGCAATGTGGGTGTGTAACCGAAGAGAGCTGATAGAAACATGGGAATTGGTGAGTAGAGGAAGAGCAGACCATAGACGATGATGGAAGTTGCTGTTACTCTCATCCAAAAGGACTTCACTGAAGCAAATGACGATTTCAGAGATGGGTTTAGGCCTTGGTGTGAGAAGGAAGTTGATGTGATGACGGTTATGGAGGCGATACAAGAGAGGATGAATGATGGGACGACATACCGGGATTTGAGATGTAAAAGCGAGACAGCATCTTCTCTAGACTCTTGCCAGATCTGTCTAGCTTCAAACCGTGTATGCACGACATTAGCTAGGGCTTCCAGACGAAAGACATGGATTTTAAGGCGAAAGGAGGTAAGAGTTAGGGAGAGGTGTAAGGCTGCGAGAGGGATCGCTATGAAGGCAAAGACTGGGATTAAGATGTGTTTGTTTCTGAAGAGAATCATGAAGGAATCAAGAAGTGTAGTGGTGATCCGCGTGGAAGAACCAGGTCGCTTTACCTCAATCATGATTGCAAAAGGCACATAAGAACCTCGTTAAGCTTCAACAGCTGTTGGGGAAACTCAAATCTGAGTCGATGTTATGCTTCTAGAGAATGTCAGCTTGTATGAGACCTGTGGTAATAGTGAAAGCACAAAACTTTTTAGCTACTCAAAGGATCCATACTAAACACAGACAAGACAATGCGTATTTCAAAGCTGAAAACTTTATCCAAATAAAACCATCTTTCAGCAAAAGAATCATACTTATCTGGAAAATCACAGTTTTGCCAGAACCATATGAAAGAATGACACTTGAAGCGATTAATCCAAAACAGAGAACACAAACAAGTTTTAAAAAATCAACCATAGTTGACCAAAATGTTAAGGACTTTATCTACAAGTTCGAGTTCATCTAAGAATATAAACCCTAATCTGAGTACGAATCGATGGTATAAAATTCAGTGATCTTTAGGTACCAAACGTGTATGAAGAAATCAAACAATCCATCGATAACCAACTAGACGCAACGAATCCAGAACAAAGAGTCCCGATCTACGGCTAAATCCCAACTCTTACGACAGAACGGAAACAATTAAGTCAATCACTTGAATCCGATATAGATTGAAATCGAGACAAACCTGAAAGAATCGAAAACACCGATTGGTGGTGTCAGAGCAAATTCGAAGAAGCTTGCTTGGGAAGGATTCATTGAGATAGGTCAAAATGGGGTTTTTAAGCTTAACCAATAACCACTCTCTGTTATTATAATTTTCTTGATTTGTTTTCAATCTATTTGCACTAATACAGTTATGTTTTTTACTTAATTTACTAGGGGAGCTTTTTCTCAAGTCAAAAATAAAATTTAAGGAAACTTTTTTTTTTCAGTTTTTAATTAAAAAATAGTTAAGCAGAATCCATTTTTCAACTAAAGATGTAATCAGTTTGAATACACTAACAAATAAATTCTTTGTTTGCTCCTAAACATTTTTTTTAAGAAAGAAGAATAAGTTACAATCCGATTAACCGGTATCATCTAAACCGGAGATTTTCCTATTTAATTACTTGTCTCTGCTGTTATTGTCCTTGTTGTCAACATCGTTCTTGCTGTTTATGTCATTGGGATGATCCACACTGTTATTGTTATTGGTGTTTGACTCATTGGGATGATCCACACTGTTGGTGTTGTTGTTGGTGGTGTCTGAGCTATTATGGCAATTCTCGAGGATGGTATTGCAGTTGTTGATGGTGGCTGCGTCGACAAGTCCATGGTTCCATAGTTTAATCAAGAACAATCTCCAACACCTGGAATTATTATTATTCTTTCAGAAAACCGAAACAAAATTGATAAGGTTATGTATATGTTGGTGTACTTATATTACCAGAAGAGTGATGAGTAACGGTGCAACTCTTTCTCGTAAAATCTTGAAAATGCTTCACATGCCCACGAAATATGACCATCTGCGATAACCCTGCAACATAAATCATAATTTGGTTTGTGCTCAATGTTCCATAAGCGAAATCGTTAAGATATGAAATGTAACACATAAGGTCTTTTTTTTTCCATGTCGTTAGCAACAGACACATTCAACGACACATTTCAGATATAACATCTTTCACCGGCGATAACAACATATTTCACCGGACAATATTGTTGATTTTCAATTTAACACACTTAATTTGCAATGTTTACAAATATTTGGTTAGTAGTTAGCGATATCTATCCCCAATGCTAAGTCAGCGACTATAAAACATATATGATTTCGTTGCTATTGAGTCGCGACTATGAAACAAGCAACAGAACATGTTGTGTGTCATTGTCAACAAAACGGAACAGGGTTCTAGGGCCAAAGGTAAAATAATTACTGGTGGATCAATCTATTCAATATCTCAGGTATTCTATAGCAAAAGTACTTCTATTGTATGAATGAATTAACTTGCACACCTCTGTGTGTGTTCAAGTGTAATTACCTTTGCCTTCTTACAAATGAGTTCCAAAGATGCATGAATTGCTTTTCATCTTTATTCACATCCACAAAATCATCAAGCATCTGCAGCTTTTTTAAGTTTCAAAAGCCATTAGCAAGTTACATCGTATACCATTTTTCTGTTGTCTATTTAATGAACGCAGAAAGAAATCATGGAATACCTGGCGATCTTCGAAATCTGCAACATCATCATCGATTTCATCCTCGCTATCCCGATCAGACATTACTTGCTCAAGCGCCATTGGCTTGTCACATAAACACGCACTTTTTGGTTAGTGGCAATAAAACAGAGACAACATGGACATAGTATCTTTTGCGTTGATACACACAAAATCAAAAATACAAATTTGGATGAGAACAATCAAACCAGAGTATCGTGACTCGGGACCAAGTATGCTTTGATAAGATATCATCATGAGCAATATAAAGAAAATGTCTAAGAAGCAGGTGAAGGAACTTGGATCACCTGGACTCTGTGAGAATGATAGAATTGGCGTTTCTGAAGAAGCAGGTGGCTGGAAGAAATTTACTCGGTTAATATAGCAGTACAGTAAACACTTATCCAGAATAGGAAGAACAATTTGTAACAACAGGAATGGTAAATTAAGATGACGGGCTATCATGATGAACAAACCTTCTAGCCTCTGATCGCTCCGCAGATAACTTTCTTGTCTTTGTAGCAGGGACCACAGCTTCGCTTGTTAATATAACTTTAGCACCAGCGTCCAGAGAAGAGTGAGCTATGGCTGGTGGAATGTTGCTAGTCATCTCAAATTGTCCAGCAAGCTCTGTTGCCTCGGGATATCCTAATCCACGGTTTCCTGTAGCATGCCATTCATTTTGTAAATCAGTTCTGGTAAAACTACCATCACAAGAAGAATGTGAGAAGTACAAAAATTGAACAATCAAGCCATTGTATCTTCTCCTGTAATATTAAGTTCTAAGCCACAAGGAATACCACAGAAGAAGATGTGGTTTTACCATCATTCAGCAGGGAAATTCCATTTTCTGTGCCATTAGCTAAACTGGGTGAATCCAACGGTAAAAATCGTACTTTAAGTCGCCTGGTGTTATTTCTGCCACCTCTTTGTCTACGCTTACGAGGTTTCGAGCTACAAAACATTATGGTTGGGTTCATAGAAATGTACTGACAAGAAAAGTAAGGAGTTAGTGCTATTAAGGTATTTATAAAGGGGTTCTGAAAGTTACCAGAGAGAGAAGGGCTCAAATTTATCTTCATCACTTCCTTCTTCCTGGTAAAAAGAAGGATGGAATATAAACTAAATTTTCACCAGCTATAGGATTTCCCCAAGTTACCAAGTTTGAAGTAACTGACCTCAAATATGAAGGAATTAAGTTTTACAGAAACATTAACTGTCTGGTATTCTTCCGAAAGCTACAATAGGAAAGACCCTTTTTAACTATAATCTCATCAAAAAGGCATACCAAAACAAGAAATTCCATAAAACCACATACCTTGAACTCAAATTCAAATAAATCATGAGATGAATTCAAATGAAATTGCAGCCCCTGCATAGACACAAGACAATGGATTGTAAGCTCCATCTGGAACATGTTTTCTCAGATAAGCACACACTCAGCAGTTCGAAAAGAGTGAGAAGACAAACAACAAACACAAAAATATGCAACCGCACAGTGCAAGTATACAGCATGAAAAGGCAGCAGCATTTCACAGTGTTAGATATGAAAGGCCTCGGAAGAAACCTCAGTTGTAATAGTTGCCCACCTTGAAGCTACCACATAGCATAAAGCAAAATGGACAAGAACAATCCTCCCTAACTGCATGACAATACAGAAAAAATAGTAAATAAAAAAATCATCTAGAGAAACATAGAAATTGACATCGAATTTTGTCGAAGAATCACCTTCAGTTTTCTGTAATGTATTATTGCAATCCTTATAGTTGAAAACTACCATCCCAGTAGATCTTGACCTAACCAAAACACAATTTAGAAAAATGTAAGTTTATATCATGAACAAAGAGAAAACCATTCATTATGGCCATATCTACTCAACAAAGATAAATAAGTCACCAGCTTCCATATTAGAAGTAAAATAAATAATATATCACTGTAGCAACTACATTCAAGAAGAAACTCATACTTTCTTTTGCGCTTTGCTCCAATTTTGTAGTTCAAGCATCTTGGAAGAAACGATGGCTGCAACAACAAAAAACAAGTTCAAATAACATTAGGAGACAGAAGAAGAACCCACTCGTCATGAGTCAGACCATGATCGGCTTAACAAACCCACACTAAGTAGGCAATCTACAAAGGAGATGAAAGAAAAAATTGAATACAGTCGTTACTGAACTAAAATGATGAGAGAGGAAGGCAAATCATACGTTGCCTAGAGAGCGAAGGTGAAAGATGTTGTATAGTCGAACAGGTTTACAATATATCAAGAGATTCTCATCAGTTGAAATCACTTCCTCCGGTGAGGATTTTGCGCGACAGTTTTGCCTACACATTCTTGTTCAATTACAATCAACGACGTCCAGAGCCGATTATGAGGTTAGTGCAAACTCCGAGGCCTCCCCTAAATTAGAATTTCCCTACGTCATGGCGATCAACTCAATGCAACAATTAGATCCGGCTCTTCTGGGTAAAGTCTCTGCAATAGAACTAGATCAAATAGGATGATAATCTAAGAAAAAAATCGAGGAATAACAACAAACGGGCGTTGAATCTACAAACAACTTATAATATCTTCTCATGGCTCTAAGAATTTAAAAGAGAACCAAAAAAAGATAACAGATTCATGCTACAGTAATGCAGATATATATGCTTATAGAGAATGTCTTGTATTGAGAGCTGTGTAATAAATAAAGCACGAGACTTTTTTAGCTACTCAGAGAGTTCATTCAAGACACAGACAAGAGTAGGCGTATTGCAAAACCGGAAACTTTATCCAATGCCACTTATCAGAAAAATCACAGTTTTCTTAGGACAAGATGAAAGAATTACACTTTAAGCACTGATTCTAGAAACAGTAACTTTTTCAAACAACAAGTTGAGGGATCAAACATAGTTGGACGGAAACGTTAAGACTTTTTCTACATAGCACGGAGTTTTCAGAGTTACAACAAGTTCTTGAACAATAGATAAAGTCTACTCATTGATGATATCTTGTCAAATTATGTGATCTTTTGGAGCAAATGTGTATGAAGAAATCTTTAAAATCCATAACTAGGCTCAGTTTCCTAAAACATCATCAGACTATAGGGAAAAAAAAGGTAAAATTCGATTCCGGATCTACTGCAAAATTTCAGCTCTTACCATATAATGGAAACAATTAGGTTTATCAATTGTTATTACTTGATACCGATCTAATTTGAGATTGAGACAAACCTGAAAGCTGCGAAAACACCGATTGGTGTAAGAGAGAGTAAGCAAAATCGAAGAAGCTAGATTGGGAGAAATTCACTGAGAAAGAAAACATGTAAAATAAAACTTTGGGTTTCAAGTTTTTTGTCAAGGCTGGGGCCATAGGCCCATATTTTAAACCAATAGACATTTAACACGTATTATTATTAGTCAATAAACTTATTTATGTTTTTTAATTAATAAAATGTAAAGAAAATACAACGAAACTTGGACAGCTTAATCCACTAATATTTCTAAAATTGGTTTATTTACCTCTACCATGGCAGTACAGTGAGTATTAGAGGATTTAAAACCATGAAGATTAAAATCCTGAATATGTATTTTTGATTTCATTGTTTAATTCTAGTCGAGTTGGCTAGCTGAAACTTACAGGAACATAAAATCACGGGTTGGCTGATTTTATAGCCATAAACTAGTTGCATTCTCAGCTTTCCCCCCCAACCTTTTGGCTCCTGACAATTCCACCATGAACTTAGATAATTCTCCCAATTTCAACATGTACTTTCGGATTCATCCTTAAAAATACGCCTCCAATTGAACCGGTCATTAAACCGGGATTAACCACAAATCCGCGTTTATTGTACCGCGATTGCGATTTACCCGACTAAATACCCATTACCCGTTAAGAAAACGACGTCGTTTTCATTTTGATAAATCTAAGATCGGGTTTACGAATCGTCATTGTTCAATCTCAAATTAGGGTTCTTGAGAGAAAAAGAGAAAAGGGGATTTGGGGATTTTCGGATTTCTGGGTTCTGGAATCTTAAATCTGGGTGGGAATTAGGGTTTCGAATAGGTTTTCGATTCAATTTCGATTCAATGAAGAATTGGTGGGATGAAGGGTTGGTTTATCAAAGCGATCCAGATGACCCCGATTTCGATCCTCCAGACAGTTCTCTCGATGCCGACGGTGGAAGCGATAGCAGTGAAAGCGGAGTTGAGGGCGATTGTGAGAGTGACAGAGAGAATGATGACAGAGAGAATGATGGAGACGAAGACAGAGCCGATGACGGAGACGACGACAGAGCCGATGACAGAGCCGCTGGCGAAGACGACGGAGGTGATGGAGAAGATGACAGAGCTGATGACGGAGCTGAAAGCAGTAAGAAGAGGAAGAGGGGAAAAGAGAAGAAGGATGTGCCTGAAGAAGATTTGGCCGAGAGGTTTGAGTTCGAGATAGAGGAAGCAGTAGCTAATTGGTTTGATGAGTTTCAGATTCGAAGGAATCAAATTCCAGAAGATGAAAATGAAGATGAAGATCCTGTGATCACTAGAGATAGGAAAATTAGGTTAGCTTCGGATGATAAGTTAGCTATAGGCAGAACATTCTTCACTGGTTTTGAGTTTAAAGAGACGGTGTTGCATTATGCGATGAAGCATAGGATAAATGCTAAACAAAGTAGGTGGGAGAAGGATAAAATTAGCTTTAGGTGTGCACAAAGAAAGGAGTGTGAATGGTATGTCTATGCCTCATATGATAATGATAGGCAGTTGTGGGTTGTAAAGACCAAATGCTTGGATCATAAGTGTACTTCTAATGGAAAATGCAAGCTGCTGAAGAGGAGAGTGATTGGGAGATTGTTTATGGATAAACTAAGGTTGCAGCCTAATTTCATGCCTCTTGACATTCAGAGGCATATCAAGGAGCAATGGAAGCTGGTTAGTACTATAGGACAAGTGCAAGATGGAAGACTACTAGCTCTGAAGTGGCTGAAAGAAGAATATGCTCAACAGTTTGCTCACCTCCGAGGATATGTGGCAGAAATCATAACTACAAACCCAGGATCAACTGCAATTGTTGATACCATTCCTGATGCCAAAGGAAATGATGTCTTTAACCGGATATATGTATGTCTTGGAGCAATGAAGAATGCATTCTACTACTGTAGGCCACTCATTGGGATAGATGGAACATTTTTGAAGCATGCGGTTAAAGGATGTCTGTTCACTGCTATTGCTCATGATGCTAACAACCAAATTTATCCAGTGGCTTGGGCAACTGTTCAGTCTGAGAATGCAGACAATTGGCTCTGGTTTTTGAATCAGCTCAAGCATGACTTGAACCTAAAGGATGGCAGTGGCTATGTGGTCATATCAGATCGTTGCAAGGTATGTATTCTCTTATGTGTCATTGTTTTATTATGTGTAGATGATAGTGCTTTATAGGTGCTAATGTGTGTGTTTTTGGCAGGGAATTATTAGTGCTGTCAAGAGTGCATTGCCAAATGCTGAACACAGACCTTGTGTGAAGCATATAGTGGAGAACCTGAAGAAGAGACATGGATCATTGGATTTGCTGAAGAAGCTTGTCTGGAATTTAGCATGGAGTTACAGTGACTCACAATACAAAGCTAATCTCAATGAGATGAGAGCTTACAGCATGTCCTTGTATGAGGATGTCATAAAGGAAGAACCAAAGAATTGGTGTAGAGCTTGGTTTAGACTAGGCAGCTTTTGTGAGGATGTGGACAACAATGCAACAGAGTCTTTCAATGCCACAGTTGTCAAAGCTAGGGCCAAAGCATTGGTTCCTATGATGGAAACAATTAGGAGACAAGCAATGGCACGTATAAGTAAGAGAAAAGAGAAGATTAGCAGATGGAAGAAGAAGACATCTGAGTATGTCTCAGACATTCTGGAAGAAGAGTGGGAAATTGCTGTGCAATGTGAAGTGACGAAAGGAACACATGGAAAATTTGAGGTTTGGAAAGATGGGAGCTCTAATGCTGTGAACTTGACCACTGATGAGTGGGACTGCTCATGCTGTAAATGGCAAGTCACAGGGATTCCATGTGAACACGCCTATGCAGCAATCAATGATGTGGGTAAGGATGTTGAAGACTTTGTGGTTCCAATGTTTAACACTCACACTTGGCAAGAACAATATGAGACCGGGCCTGAGCCAGTTAGAGGGCAAATGTATTGGCCTACAGGTTTAAGGTTAATAACTGCACCTCTCGAAGATCCTGTTCCACCTGGGAGAAAGAAAGGTGAGAAAAAGAATTACAATCGGATCAAGGGTCCAAATGAGTCACCAAAGAAGAAAAAGAAGGGTGAACCAGAGAAACTAAAACTAGGAAGGAAAGGAACAACAATGCATTGCAGATCTTGTGGTGAAGCAGGTCACAATGCAGCTGGATGTAAGAAGTTCCCTAAGGAGAAGAAGAGTAGGAAGAAGAAGAATCAAGATGATGAGGTTTGTTTCTGTTTTAGGCTTCTGTTTTCTGTTTGGTCAGACATTTTGTTGCTCATGTTGCATTTTGTTTCTGTTTTAGGCTGCTGGATCGTCTCAACCACCAAAGGAGAAGAAGAATACTAAGAAGACCAAGAAGAGTCAAGGGACATCTACCTCTCAGCCTACAATAGAGCATCAAGAAACAACTCAGGGACCAGATACAATCACACTAACACAGAGAAGCAGTCAATGGGAGCCGTGGGAGTAGTTCTAGTTGTTGATTGGTTTAGATTGTTTGGATGTTGTCTTTGGAACAATCTTCATCCTCTTTTGTCTATTTTGGATGTTGCCTCTTTCGGAAGTTGATTCTCTTTAGGATGTTATTGTTTTGGATGATGACTGACTGATTCTTATGTAATCTTTAGGAGTCTTATCTTACCTTACCTATTCTTATGTTTCAATTTGTCATTTTCCTTACCAAACAGATTCACATTACAAAACAAAGACAAAACAGATTCACATTACAAAACAAAAACAATTACAAAACAAAAGACAAACATAGATTCACATTACAAAACAAAGACAAACAGAGACCAAACAGATTGACTACAAACTGACATAGATTCACTCTAAAACCTCAACACCTACACTCTTCCCCAAAGCCATACAATTGAGGTAACAATTACAGCAGCAATCCCTACAGTCTTCAAAGCTGACTTAGCCATAACATGTCCTAGCTCCTCCACATTCTCCTTCATGGTCAAGAGTTCACCCTCCATCTTCTTAATCAGCTCTTCCTCAATTTGCTTAATGTTTTTGTTCTGGAGCTCCATATTGGCCATCACGTTCACTCTCAAAGCACTAAGATTCTCTGCAACTCTCTTACACTTCTCATTTACCATGTTAATTTCGTCCAAGAGAGCTTCATCAACCCACTTGAACAAGTGCTCTTCATTTTCTCTCTACAAAACAGAATTTCTAACCCATTTACTCTTTTCGATCAATTAACAATTTCAAAAAATCGAAATGTGTACCTTCATTGCTATCGCGCACCGGTAGAATCTCCGGTATGGATTTTCCTTTGTTTTCGATGTGAAAGTGGTGATCTCTTCTCCACACCAGCATTTGGAGGGGACACCAAGAGGAGAGGCACGGAAACCTGAACTGGAAGCAGATGAGTAGTAGCTCATGGTGCTCATTTTCTTAAAATTTCAGAAGCTCTGAAGTGGAATGTAGAACCCTAAACGCCCAAATCGATTTTGTAGAAGAAGAAGAATGAAAACGACGTCGTTTTTTGCTTGGGGTTTTGATGAGATTTAACAAATGGAAAACGACGTCGTTTTCTTAACGGGTAATGGGTATTTAATCGGGTAAATCGCAGTCGCGGTACAGTAAACGCGGATTTGTGGTTAATCCCGGTTTAATGACCGGTTCAATTGGAGGCGTATTTTTAAGGATGAATCCGAAAGTACATGTTGAAATTGGGAGAATTATCTAAGTTCATGGTGGAATTGTCAGGAGCCAAAAGGTTGGGGGGAAAGCTGAGAATGCAACTAGTTTATGGCTATAAAATCAGCCAACCCTAAAATCACTGAGGTAGCTTTTTGTTGTAACTAATTTTCAACCAATATAGAATGATGACTAATGGATTACCAATTTACCATCAGTGTTTTTTTTTTACTCGAGTTGTGTGATGTTGAAATAGTTATTACATACTACTAAAATAGTTACATTTAAACCAAAACAAAAAAAAAAATGGGCTACTTAATCAAAGACTATGTGGAAGCCCCTTTGGCCCATTGGTTGACCAAGGGTTAATTAATGTTTCTACACCCAGAGGTCTGGGGTTCGAGTCCCAGATAATGCGATTTATTAATAAATTTGCAGATTATTGGAGGCAAGTGTGCAGGAGATCTCCAGCGATGTACAATTATAGCCGTTCGCCAGGATTCTACGCAAAAAGAAGTGTCCATCAAGAGCATGAAGAAGGAGGTGAAGGAGGTGTCGTCTGTCGTGAATCTAATAAGGGTCGGAAGGAATTGTCCGTTGTAGAATCGTCTATGTAACAGTTCTCATAATTTGCAATAAATAATAAATCCAGACGACAAAAAAAAAAAAAAAATCAAAGACTATAAATGTATAGTAAAATATTACACATACATTTCATGAAAACGAGAGATCCTTTTCTCACAGATGAGAATGAATGTGTGTGTAAAGAACAAACAAATTGCAAGAGTTACGTATGGTTTGCAGCACAAAATCACCGGGAGTAAAAAGTAAAAAGTTGTTTCCTTTCCCAAAACTGAATATGAGTTCACATGGAGACAAGACAACATGTTGCTTCTTGAACTCAACTCCTTAACGCTGCTGACAAATTCCAAATCCATCACCGGTTTAGTATTACATGAACAAATTGAAACCATAATTCAACACAAGATTCTAACATTCCACATGGGTTTTTCTGAATTTCCTAATTAAGTTTCATAGATCAATTATGGATTCATAGAGATTGAATCAATTCCTCGGTTTACCTGAATGAGAGAAGAGCCAGAGGATAATGACACAGAGAAGAAGAATGAGAGGAATCAAATGGATGACGTTTTCTGCAAATCTGAATCTTGATTTCTCTCTCTTCCCCGCTTGTGAATTCGGATCGTACCTAGGCAAAAGCAGCTCCACATCATCTTCCATAGCTGTAACACTCTGAGATCGAGGCGGTGACTTCGCCGGAAAATGATCAGAAACTCTAGAACCACTCGCTGATCTACGCATCTCTCTCTTTAACGCCAACTTGTCAAGTCAAAGGTCGAAACTTTACCACACAATAACGCATTTATATACAGTCAGGTTTGACCAATGGGAGAGTCAAAGCTCTTCTCTTTTCACCAGTAATCGCCACAAGAGCAAGACCCATCTTTGAAATGGTGAAACCTTGTGGTGTCTCTTACCACGATCTCTCTTTTCTCTATCTCCGAGATAAATTTGATTGCTTTATGACAGTCACCACAGATTCTCAAGTTCTTGAACACTTGTATTGGTGAACCTTGAGGGAGTTTTATGCAACCAAATGCAACAGCTAACTTCTCGCTGTGCCATAACAATAGCTTTTCCTTTTGCTCTTCTTCTACATTGTGTAAAGCAAACTCTAGCTCCGGTTTGTATCCAGCTAGTTTCATCTTTTTCTCCAACTCCTTCAGTTTCTTGTGTATTGAGTCTAGTTCCGGGTGAATCCGATCACTTGATCTGAAATGGTGAACCTTGTTTCGTATCTCGATCCAACTGTATCCGGGTACCTGAAATAATCAAGTGAATACATTTAGAGTCATGTAACTCGAATAAAGAATCGAACTTTGACTCGCTCTACCTTCACAACATTGCTCTCTTTCATTCTCTTGCGAACCCTTGCAACGTCTTCCCAACGATTCTTCGATGCATAGATATTCGCAAGCTGCACATACCCGGCTGCATTTCGAGGGTCTAGCTCAAGCAGTTTCTCAGCTGCGAATTCAGCCAACTCCGAGTTCTTGTGCACTCTACAAGCCCCTAAGAGCGTCCCAAAGACTGCAGCATGAGGTCTAAACGGCATTGATCTTATCAGTTTCAATGCCTCCTCCAGCTTCCCAGCCCGACCCAAAAGATCAACCATACACGTGTAATGATCAGGCCGCGGTTCTACCCTGTAATCTCTCACCATTGAATCGAAGTACGCCATCCCTATATCCACTAGTCCAGCGTGGTTACAGGCCAGTAAAACCGCAACAAACGTTATCCAATCGGGCCTGATCTTGTTATCTATCATCTCACGGAACAAAAACAGAGCCTTTTCCGCATTACCATGCTGAGCGTACCCGGAAATCATTGCATTCCACGCCACAACATCTTTCTTCTTCATCGCCTCAAAGAGTTTCCAAGCATCGCCAAGTTCTCCACATTTGCAGTACATACTGATCAGAGACGTCAATGCAGTTATGTCATTACACAACGTAGATTTACACACTATCTGATGGATTTGCCTCCCTAACAGTAACGCTGATAATTCGCTGCAACCGAGCAATGCACTGCTTAGTCCAGACGAGTTAGGCCTAATTCCTTCCTTAAGCATTGCTCTGAAAAGCTTCAACCCATCTTCCGGCCGAGAATTTTCAACATAACCAGAGATCATAGCATTCCAAGTTACAAGATTTTTCTTCACTGTCATGTCTTTGAACATAGCCATAGCTAATTCAACCTTCTTGGCTTTCATGTACCCTGTGATCATCGCCGTCCATGCCACAACGCCTCTAAATGGAGCCCCTCTGAACAAATGTGATGCCTTTTCCAAATCCCCGCATTCGATATATCCAGAGATCATGGCATTCCAAGAAACCTCATTCTTCTCCATCATGGAATAGAACAATACCCGTGCTTTCTCCATTTCACCTCTTCGTGCATACCCTGTGATCATTGTGTTCCATGACGCCGCATCCTTGAATGGCATCCGATCGAAGAAGCTCTGGGCCTTCTCGAAGTTACCATTACGAACGTAGCAAGACAACATGATGTTATAAGAGAAATTATCTGGTTCAGGAATTTCATCGAACAGTTGGTGTGCTTCCATCATTCTGCTTGGATCTTTAGAAATCCCCACGAGCAGAGAATTCCAGGTAACTGTGTTCTTAGCTCCCATCCCATGAAACACTCTAAGAGCTCCATCTATATCTCCTGAACGTACACAACTTGCTATAATCTTGTTCAACGGAAAAATCTGGTCTTCATCAGAAGGTTTATTCAAATAATCGGAGCGAACCAGAGATGGCTCTGGCGATGAACAAGTGGAAGACAAACATGATCCCGCCAAAATAGCATCTGGGTTTTCTACTGAGCGCGAAAAGAATCGAAATTTCCAGCGTTTTAATGGCTGATGAATGTTGAAGCGAGAAAGCATTTTACATGGTTTATGACAGAACACAAGAAAATGTTTAAATCCTACAAAATGTAGTAGCAACTAGCAAGTAGCAACCATTGCGAGAATATGAGAGACTTTGTATCTTATAACTGAGTTTATAACATCTAAGAAGTAAGAACACGATCAGGAATGAGAAAAGAGGATACAGAGTGAAGAAGACTCATACAGTCATACCGATAACATTAGATATGTCTGTCTCAAAACATGTTTCACAAATAAGAAAACAACAAACACTTAAATGGTAAAATAAAACAGTGTACTGTTTCAAAAGTAAAGAAAACCATCAGGCGTAAGTTTGCATAAAATCTAAAAACTGACTGACACCTAAAAATTTACATCTGACAACGAGAGACCGGTAAACAGTAAATCCTCGCACAAAATCCTAGAGGAGGATGCAGAGTATGGACGTTTTCATGGATGGATCTTACTTGCCCCCAAGAGATGGGAACTGAGCAGCATCTCCAATGGCTGGTGCAGCTTCATTACGGTAACCACCAGATTCGCCACTAGAAACACCTCCACGGCCACGACCACCACGTCCACGACCACCACGACCTCCTCCTCGGTAGTAGATCTCACCCTCTGCTGGCTTCAGAAACTCATTGATGCTCACAGCCTGCAAATCACAAAACACAGCAATAAGCAAACTTGTTGACTTCTACAAAATGTTAGATTTAGACAATGATTTAAACCTTCTTAGCCTTCTCTTCTTTGTCATCTTTGCGTTTGTCCTTATCAGAACCCTGGGAAATAGATCAAAGAAAGGTTCAGAATCGTGTAAACAACTTTCTAGTCGACATGAAGAAATGATAAAGGATACGTCTTACCAGCTTGATGAAGATTTCATCATTAGACTTCTTGTTTGACAGTTGTTGCATTGATTCAAACACTTTAGTATCGACTTTCCTCTCAGAGGTGGCCAATGATTGAAGTGCCTTTTTCTTCTCCTCGAGTATTTTTTCATACTCATCAAGAGTCATTTCCTGTAGAAACACAAGTCAATAAGCAATCAGTGAGAATAAAAAACTGATACCAGTGAGAATATCCATTGATTTTAGCAACTTACAATGGCAAATTGAGTTCTATATCATTAAACCAGTTGGAAAACAGTAAATAGAAGCCTATCATTTTTATGCCATTCTCTGTTTACCTTATCCTCAGGCTCTTTCTCCTCAACAACAGTATTCTCCTTGTTAGCATCAGCAGCTACATCATCAACAGCTAGCTTCTCTCCAGCATCCTTCTCAGTGTCAACACCAGCTACTGCTTCAGTCTCACTTAAAGATCCAGAGAAAGCTTCTTTTAGTCCAAATTCCCAATCATATAAAACTCTACATTTTTTATATAAACAAGTACTTACGCAGCTAACTCTTCCCCTGGAGTTCCCCAATTGCCACGACCAGATCCGTCACGCTTGAAGTCACTCCTAACCAAAATATAAACTCCAACTTATGAGATTGATACAGTCATTTCAATGGCAGATTATGCAACAACAGAATATCACTGACCCTCTGCCAGTTCCACTACGACGCTCAAAGGCCCTTCGAGGACGTTCTCCTTCACCACCCTCATTGCTGAATCCACCACGACGACCACCACCACCTTCACCACGGAAAGAACCACGAGGAGCCCCTCCACCACCACCACCACCACCACCGCCACGCCTCTCGTAAGAAGACTTTGAAACATCTCCTTCCCCTGAGGGTTTAGTGTATCCTCCTGAATATCCATTATTACCATCCTCACGGTTGTAACCACCACGACCACGGCTAAATCCTCCACGGCCTCCACCACCACCACGTGGAGCATCACTCCTTGCCTCTCTCACTAATCAACAACATCAAAACTAATCATACATACACCAATCTCAATCACTCAAACGACAATACACAACTCCATGAATAATCAAGAGAATCCAAACAACAATACAGACAGCTTACTCTAGTAATAAAGATCGAATTTTTCTAATCAAATATTAATTTATGAGAAGAAACCTCACCGGCTTGAGCAGGAGGAAGTGGCTTCGATGGAAGCTTAGGAGCTGACTTAGCAGGGAAGCCCGAAACCGGTCCAGATTTCTTGGACTTATCAATCTTGTCGATGGAAACAGCGAGCTGGCTTGGATCCTCAGCATCGTCATCCAACAAATCAAAAGGGTTCAAAGTTGCCATCTCCTTAAACAATCCAAGTGATTCAAAAACCTTGCTTTTTATTCCACACAGAGAGATAACACCACTAGTGACTAGACCAAGCCATGGATTATTAACAGATCTAAAGAAAACGTCAAAATGAAGGAGACGAAATGGGTATAGAGGAGAGAACTTGTTGGTTGGTGAGAGAAAGAAATGATAAGGGGAAAAAAAATGAAAAATAAATGTGTGGAAACTTGGAATAGCCGAGAATCGGCAGTGATGATCCTAATCGTTTTGCTTTCTTTTATTTTTATTTATTTTTTGCCGTCAAACAAATAAACAAAAGTTATTTTACAATTTTCAGTAGACAGTTTTGGTAAAATTTGGTCATTTTTACTCCACTAAAAATTTTTTTTTTAGTTTTATTTTTGCAATTTTAACGTTAAAGTGCTCCTATGTATATGAAAATACTCGTTCCAATTTACAATATATTTAATGCTTTATGGAGAGATTTTTATACACAAAAAATACTCATTCCAATTTACAATATAACTTATTTCAATATTGGTCATTGCATCCAAAAAAAAATTTCTTCCATGAACAAAAATGTTCATTGTTGGTTATAAAACATAGAGAACTTCTTCCATGGGTCATTTTAGTAAAATTTGGTCATTTAGGCCCACTTATAATTTATTATTCAGTTTAGGTTTTCCAATGTGTATATTAAAATGTTCTTATGTATATATGAAAATAATCCATTTGTGTCATTTTAATTGATATTTAAGGTTTTTACACATAAAATATGTTATTTTCTATCTTTTCAATAGTAAAACTTAATTTTCTAAATTTTAATAATTCAAACAATGACAAAAAAACAACTCTGCAAAAACATATATGGTCTTAAATAAAATAAAATAAAAAGATTAACATTAAAAATTAAGAACATCACTTTAAAAAAAATTGTAAACCATTAATTAGTTTAATTCAAAATAATAGTCATGTAAAAATAAAAAAAAATAACTTATGTAAATATGTAATACCAACACCGTTTATTTCATTTTATTTTATTTACAACTTTTTGTGGAAAAAGCACCATTTGTTCAAACAAATGCGAAAAGTTTAAATTACACAACTTTTAATCATAACAAACAAATAAATAAATAAGTCCCCACTACCACCAATAATAAATATCTTAATCTTTAGAAAGAAGAAGAAAAAATATATATAAAAAATAAAGAAGTACTTAAAAAGTATTAAAAGATAATAAATCTTTTTTCCATAATTAAAAAGCTCATGAAGACGACGGACTAGGCAAAACATCTCCGTTATCATGAAAAGTACGGTTAAGTCTTAAAGACTTTCCTGTGTATAAAACCTTGACGTTTGACCTTTGCTCATCCAACAGTTTCCTTAAACTCCTTTTCGCGTTTGCCCGAAACGGACAGTTAGATGCCAAAAACCCGTCGACCAAGTGCAAGTACGCTTCCAGGTCATGGCAACACGCCACGTCAGCGTTCGGTTTCAGATACGGAGACATCTTCATGTCGACACGCAGCTCCGCTCCCACATGCGAGTAAGCCCATGGATTGTTCCTCTCCACCATCTCCATTATACCCCCTGGACTTCTCCCGTTATTACGATTTTGCCCCTGCTTATCATTATCGGAGAATATGCCGGGGACTTTCGTCACCACGTCTTGGCTGTTCACGACGCGGAGGACTTTCACTCCTTTCGAATCCAAACGATCCGCGAACTCGCGGTTCCCGACTCGTGGCCCACCGAAGGAAAACACCGCAACAGGAGGCGCGTGTGGAACACGCTCGGCGATGTCGTCGGCTGCGAGAAGAGCGATTGCGGCGCCGAGACTGTGACCGGTGACGCTGATGCTCAGCTCCTCTCCTGCGTAGAGCTCGACAAGTCGGGTGATTTCTCCGACCAACGACTCGGCGAGGCTTGGTGCGTGTTGGCCACCCGTCGTGTAGAGGCTATTAAATCCGCATTCCACTTTGGGTCGAGTCGGGTCGGATTGATCGGGTTTGGGCTCAGGCATTGAAACGAGATTGGGCCTGAAATTCTCCGACCATTCGAGCAACGTGGCGGTTCCACGGAGGGCGATGACGATCTCCCTCCTTCCCATCCGTCGGATCTCTCTCGGATCATCACACACTGCCACGTAACCAACCCAGCTCGTCTGTTTAGTCATCCACCGGAGATCCGGTGCAACGTCATCGATCCATTTAGGTAGACGAACGGATGACGTGGCGTAAAGACTCTTCGTTACTTTAAAAGACCCATCAGGTAAGGCCACGTGTCTCGGCGAACCTTCCGGGTCTGAGTGAAACGCGTGATAAGCTGCTTGTACAAACTCTCCGTAACGGACAAGCTCTCGCCGGAGATTCTCGTCTAATGGATCCAACAACCCGGCCCAGTTGTTTAACCCGTGTAGCTCCCGCCATTTTGACCCGAGTTTACTCTTCGGCGAACGTTCCTCCGATGACTTTGAGAGAAGCCTTTGGAGCCGTTTCAAATTCTTTGGAGACATTTCGTCCACGGCTGCTTTCATCTGAGGCCAGATTCGCGCCAAATTCAAACCTCCAAGAAGTGACGACGTCGATGTATTCGTCGTCGTCTTCTCTTGACGAGAAGTTACATTTTCGAGATGATCTATAGAACTTGAAGAAGTTTTAAGAACGTTCTCAAGGTTTCTGAGATGTTCTTTGTTGGTTTTTCTCGCCGGAGAAACCGAGAGTGCCTTCGTCGGAATCAAAGTCGAGGTTTGACTACAAGTGAAACGACGGCGTTTTGCATGGAATATGTCGGCGTTAGGCGTAAGTGTCTGCATGTGAACTATTGGCGAGAGAGAATGAGAGATAGCTCAAGTTTTGATGGGACAAGAACAGAAGATAGAATGAAACTAAGATTGGTATTTAAATAAATAAAAAACGTCGAAGGTGGCTGTGACGTAATTTGGAATAAGCATGGAGTTTGAATGTTATTACCATTTCGACCCTCGTTAATTCGTTTGACTTGACTTTGTTTTTATTTGATTTATCCTTTCTGTTTTTAAGGAATATTGAAATATTTGGACCGTATTGGCTTGCTATTTTTTAGGATGTTTTGGACCGTTTCCATGTAAAGTCTCCAAAAATTCCGTGTGTTTTCAAGAAAAGTCCTAATGAAGAACCCTGCTTCATTAATGGTAGTATACTAGTATGTATTACATTTATTAATCATGTATTCTCAATAAAACTCAAAACTAATTTGAGGACTAAACTGTTTTTCTTTGATGATGGATTTTGCCTTTTTGATGGACGAGTTTGATTTTTATTGTATTTTCGGTCAGAATGGACGAGTTTGATTTGACAATCTTTATGTGAGTTAGATAGAGTAGATAAGTTTTGGTCTATTAAGCCGTCTTCCTAGGTACTAGGATGGTCGGATTGTCCTATATAAAGGTACAGTTGCTGTAGTAGAATAAACAACGAATTCTCTTTTTATTACTCCATAAGAGAAAAAGGTTTGCAAAAGTCAATTGATTTTTGTTGTGTGCTCGAAAGTTTAAACAGTGTACATTTTGACCCCAAAAAAAGTGTATACAAGCACCCTATTAAGTATCTAAAGGGCCGTTATGATAAATTTGTCCAACCAGATCTATCAATTTTGTAAGACCGGTTTTATGATTTCTTAAGGTTTATGTTATGATCGTCCTTCATATTAGTCTCCAAATCAACTGTAAAAAAAATTGAACGTTCCAAACAAAAATGTTGTAAAAGAAAACTGATGGGTTTTAGATGTTAAATTTGTCTTATAGAGATAACGAAAACAATTAAACTTAACCAAATCCATGGATCTTTTGCCTATTTTTTTATTTTTAATACTCAAAGTTTGGTCTTGTCATAATATTTTTTTCTAGAAAAACCATGTAAATACTCAATTACATAAATATCATGGTAGAAATCACTTGATAGGTGTTAAAAAAAATCACTTGATGATTCCAAAAAAGGTTTCTTTCCTAAAAATCTTACATCATTAATGAGTTAATCCAGGGTTATTTTGCAAAACGAAGATGATTATTTTACACACTACTATATGTAAACGGTAACGTTATTTACTACATGTATGTACCAGATTAAAAAACAGTAACACAAGCTGTTAACTATGGATGCACACTTTCTAAAAGAAAATTTGTCTTATCAAAGAATAATGAGATGACATTTGTTAACCAATAGAATAATTGACGGTACGGTTGTTAACGGATAAAAAAAATATCCAAACTACGGATTCAAGATATCGCGTAAATCAAATAGCGTTGGATGAATTCTACTAACTTTGACGAACTAAAAGGACTTTATTTCTCTTTAACAAAACAATAAATAAAAGGACTTTGTGACGGTTGTGATATAGAATGAATGAGTTGGTCAATCAGTTCAATTTATATTTTATGTTCGTACCAAACCGATTGTCGTTATGTACGAGCTTTAGGTGTGAAAGTGATTTTGCAATACGGTTGACAACCTTTTACCAACTTACCGTGCGGTCCAAGTATGACTTCAAAATTATTGCATTTCACACAACTTACCAGTTTCACGTCAAATAAATAGTTTTCTTTGGTTTTGGTACATATAGAATGTATATAGTTAGAGTGTTTTAGTTTGTTTTTTATGCGGTATTAATCTCCCTCCATTTAGTGTTTAATTAATTAGATCTGTAAATTTACAGTACATTACTGTTAAAAAGTAGATTATTTGAAGTAGAGATTCCATATTCGTATATAATTTGTTTTTAACTTTGTAAACATACAACTGTATAAAACCTAATATATAAAAACAACTGTGAACATATGCTTTTGTCTAACCAATTCAAAGATAATTTTTTGTTTACAAATTGTACTTTTGTCGTCTAACCAATTCAAACGTTTGAAAGAAACAACAACTTTCATGGATTTTTCTTACATTACATTGAAAAATCATATAAATGACATCTTTCATCCAAACTTCACAACCGTTCAACATGCAAGAAATTTACGTCGTAGAATTATATATGATTTAATTTCCGGTACTTAATTTGTGTATTTCTAAAGTCTAAATCCTACACACGAGCGTAAAAGTTTTTAAACGTATTGGTAACCTATTATTAGCAATAGTAATTCAACTTTTATCTACAAATACAAAATATCAAGTCAAACTCAAATACGAGTTTCATCGATTATATATTTTAGAAAAACTAAGGTATATAATGGATCAGAACTTTATTTAACAAGTTTATCAAAAACAAATATTTCGTACGGAAAAATGAACAAGTCTTCACCTGAGAAATGTCACAACTACAACAGCCTGGCATCAATAGTATCAGTCTAAACAAACATACTAATAAAATAACAGGTCAAATATTTATGTTGCATCCAAATGCATATATACGACAATAATCTTATATTTATGCATGGTAACTCATTCATTTAATAAGAAAACGTAAGCATTTCCACCAAATCAAGAAAAATGGAATCATATTTGAATATTTCAAATCACATGTTAGACCTTTTATACATACACATAGTTTTACTCGTCTTTGTATAGAATATAACAAGTTCTCAAGTAACGACGATGTGTTAAAATATACTGATACACGTATCAATTTTAGCATAAATTTGAATTTGCAAATGTCAAAATTACAATTCTGTTTGTTTCTTTTGTTAGCCATTTGAAGAACTAAACTCTCAAGTCTCAGCGAAGCGTGTTGAACCGTTACTGTTGCCGTTCCAGTTCAGCTGTCTTAATGACACGTGGAATAGTCAGACACGTCGATTCAGCATTTTGACTAATCTTCTACTGTTCTGACTTCTGAATATACGAAATCGCAGCCATTTAATGGGCCTAATTAACTTATTAGCCCATAAATGATCTATAATAATAAAGCCTGTTTACTGAAACCTATTTCTAGAGGTCGGCCATGTTCTTTTCACAATCGTGCGACTCTCATCCGCGACCAATTTTAAAAACTGAGTTTTTTTGTTTTTATTTTATATCTTGTAATTATGAGTCTTTCTAAGGGCATAAATGTAAATTTAATAAACTCCTAATTAAAAAATATTTTTTCTGTTGAAGAAGATGATAAAATTGCAGAGATCTGTAAACTTCGATGATGGAAATTTGAAACGCAGCGATAATCGCTTCTTTGAAATTAAGGGTTGGGTTGTGTCGCCGTTTTCTCCGGCGACTGTAAAATTTCACGTTTTTAGTCGCAGCGACAAAAAATAGAAGAGACGAAGAAGAGATGAAAAAAACTTAAAAGATAATTGAGGTGACAAATCAGTCGCACAGTGGGAATCGCACGCTTTTGAAAAGAACAGGGCCGTCATTATTATTATTAACAATTTGATTTTTTTTATACGAACTTTTTTTTTTTTTTTGCATCAAGACAAATTAGACACAAAACTATCATTTTGACATATTTTACACAAATTAAAAAACTATGTAAGTTTCTACTACATTTTCTTCTGCTTTTTTATTCTCTTATGATTTTCTTCTATATATACATATTTGTTGACCAAATGAAAGATTTATGATATATATTAGTGTAATTTATATACATCATTAGTCTTTCGGTTGGTCAATAAATATTTATATATAGAAAAAAATCAGAGGATGATAGATACTTTTTAAAATAATTTAATTCCTATTTTTCAATATTCATAAACATAGAATAATATATTTAAATCCCATTTTGTCAAATTTACATTAAATGTTGAGTCAGAAAAAAAAATCTTTAAATGTCCTTGTCTATTTTTTCTTTTTTGCTAAGAATGTAAATATTCATAAAAATGAAAATGTTTAGGTTTACAATCATGGATTTTAAACCTATAAACTTGTTCCCATGGCAAAAATCTTTGTCTATTTTTGAAAATGGTTTCATTTATTGATGTTATTAAGTATAAGAAATGTTAGAGTGACTTGTAATATTGAGGACAAATGAATAGTAAATAGACTCAGAATAAAGATGATGCACAACATAACGGAAAACATGCAAGATAGTTCAAATAATAAAAAAATATAATCCCCCATTCCTTATAGATTGATATTTTAGATGGTTCAAATAGTATGAACATAGATTATTTTTAATATGTGTGAAAATTTCTAAAAAAGTAACTTGTAAGGAACACTGGGAGTGAGTATATATTACCACTATTCAGACCGCCTTGCACCCTACATACCCGTCTTGCACCTTCTCTATTCAAAACCATAAAATATATGTACACATTAAAATAGGAAAAATATTTACAAACATAGTTTAATTATTCAGCATGATTTATTTATTTCTAATATATCATTGAAACAACTAAAACTAGGTTTTTAATAACTTGTATGATTCTTTACGTTGAACTGACCAAACATCAAACACGATTGTACAAACATATGTACTCGTCGGTCACCATGTGCTACATAAGCTAACTAGAAATGCCAGAGCTACAAGTCATGTGATCATGTCCCATTCGCCAAAAATACTTGTATTTAGTTTTTGCCCACGATCCAATACCTAGGACAACTCTGTCCGACTATCCAACGTACAATTCGATCAAGTATTTACTATAAAAATTCCTTTAATACATCTAGAAAACGGGGCAAGATAATTTTCTTATATTTCTTACATTTGTGTCTAGCTCCCACACACATGCACCTACGATGTCTAACTAGATTCAAACCTTACATTTGAGATTCACTCTCCTTGTTCCTTTCATCCATGTCCATAATTTGTGGCATGACTCATGTTCATATGTGCTTTTCAAAAATATTCAATCTCCTAATATCTTAAACTCTATTTTAAGCTGTTTACTCAAACCATATGAATCTTCAAAAAACAACTCTCATTTATCTTTCTAATAACTTTCATGATTATGTTGTTGTTCTAGGACCTCACTTTGCCTCCCCATCAATAAGGATGCTTCCCTAACAAGTGAGTGATTTCCGTATGTTTTTCTCTTTCTAATAACATACTCAAAGACATGATATTAGAGTTAACAGATTATAAAGTTATGTTTGCTTCTTAATAGTCGAACGCTCTCTTTAACTTGGTCAATTCAGATCCAACACATACGACTCATCCGTTCGACGAATCTAACATATCATGACCAACAAATAAATATTAGTCAATATAAACATAAATTCCATTCATAACCAACACATACGACTCATCGTTCGACGAATCTAACCTATCTTTACCAACAAATAATTGTTAGTCAATATAAATTACAAATTATTTACTTATACAGAATTATTTTTTCACTTTTAAATAATTCCATACCTTATATAACTTATTTTTATGTATTTCTATCTTTAATTTTCCCTCCCAAACTTCAAATAACTTGTATATATAAGGTGAGATATGTTTTGATGTAGATAACAAAAGTTGGTGAGTAACAAAAACAAACAAGAGTTTCAACTCCTCCTCCTCCTCGTTTTCCGGTGATTATCTCTCTTCTCCGGTGCATCTACTCTTTCCCTCAACTTAGTTTCCACAACGATCCATAATTCCATGTTAGCGAATATAGCTTCCACATTACCGTAGCATGAGTTCCTTTCATTTTTTCGTTCGCTTTTTACGTACATTTCATCATATATAATAGTATATCCAATTTTAATTATCCTCTTAGATCTTGATTTCTAAATCGAAGATGAAGTAATATAGTTATAATTTATCTTGTAGATTCAACATCCTTGTTGTTATAATGGATCCGGTCAAGCCCACAACCGAAGCTAAGGTCCCTGCTAAGCGATCAAAGGCTAGAAGGTTTGTTGATAAATGTGGTTATAGGATGTGAAAAATCCCCACTTCTGAAACTGAATTTTAGGGTCCCAATTTCATATGTTTCTGTTGGTCAAATTTTTATATATATATATTTTTTTTGTCATCTAATACAACTGTCAAATTTTTTTTATATTATTGGTTTCTTTTGAGTAATGATTTTTCGACCAAGAAAAATAAATATCAAGTCCAAGAATGATTTTCTAAATTTTGTTTTTAACTTTGTTTCTTAGTGAATGTTCTTCTTTTAAAAATCTCATTTCAATTTTATTTATTATACAGTTTACTTAATTCATTTGATTTTATATTTTCTAGATTTTTTAACTTTACTGGTAGATTCAATGTATTTAAACAAACAAATCTTTTATAGATACTAATACAATCTTAAATGAAAATGTCTATATATTATTTTATTTTTTGCTATATATAGTACATTGTATAGTTTGTATTCAAACCAAAAGTTCTATATCTAGCTCTTGATAACACTATTATATACTATAATTTATCAAATTTTCACATATTTCTATTTAACATAAGTTTTTGTATATTTCTTTCTTCAAACAATCAAAACCTAAATTAATTTATTTTTTTCATCATGACAGGCTGTTATTTTAATTTACCATTTCTGTGTTTTCTTGTACTGCCTTTATTAACCGGGTAAATTTGTTTGCAGCCACTACTTACCTCTTCATAAACCCCAGTTCTATCATTCCCGAACCGGCCAGGTGATTCAAGTTCCTTCTTGGTTTGATTCTTCTCAGTTAAATTAGTATTTATGCTTCAGTTTGTATCCACGTGAATGTTTTATTGTCACTAACCAAAAACTGCATGTTTTTGTTACAAAGCCACTGTCACTTGAGGAAGTTATGTCTGACCGAGATAACGAAAATGATGTCGACGATGTTGCTGAACATCTCGCAGAAAGCCAGGTATATATATTCCATGATTTCTTTATGCTTTTATTAAATTAACAACTGTATACGATTATTCTTGCTAATGACTTTAATTAAGAACTTAAAAAAACTGTAGATGCCTAATGATTCCATGGATGAGAATGAAATCGTAGCAGAGAGATTCATAAAACTTTGGAACTCCTTTGTTAAAAAGCAAAGGTAACTAACTATATTTCTTACCTTCCATACGTTTGTCGTAATGGTTAGGCTTATAAAACTTTGGCATAAATCAAATTATGATTTTATGTTGCAGGATTGTTGCAGATTATCATATTCCTTGGGCATGTGAAGCATTCTCAAGATTACACCTGCAAGAGTTGCGCAGTAACTTAGCACTCGACTTGTAATTATCTCTTCAAAACTATATATATACATAAACACATAATTTTGTTTTGTTTCTTGGAAAAAGAAAACTAAAATAAAAATTTCAGGTGCTGGAGACAATTCATGATCAAACAATGGGATTATGGAATTCTTGACGCAGTCACCATGAACAAATGCAATACCATCATCTACCGTAATATCACAGACACCAACGATGACATAAACAACAACAACAACAACAACACGAGGAGTGATGATATGGATGTTGTGGACGGTGACAAAAACAAAGAGTAATAGGACGATTTTCGATTGCAATTTTTATTATCTTTTTTACTGTTTACGAGCAAAAGTATTTCTTATTTGGATTATTTTATTTTTGCTAGGGGGGACAAAGAAACTACTGAGACTGGCATGTGTAGAAATGGGGAAAAAGATGAAATGAATGTGGGAGAACAAGGTAATAACCGGTTGACATTATGCGAGCAAATGGAGTCAGCTACTGTCACAGAATCTTCGCAAGATGTGAACGCAATCACATTTATTAATCAGAGAAGCTTTGGGAAAAGGCCGATCATACCGACTCAAAAGATGGTAGAGTGGCAATGGACTAGTTTTGATGGTCGCAGAAGCGGTGGTCGTAGAGGTCGTGGTCGTGGTCGTGAAAGCGGAAGCGGAAGCGGTTGTGGAAACCTCAACTAGTAATCTCTAGTGGGCTAGTTTTACATTCTCTTTTCCCTTTTTCTTTTTCAGTTTCTGTTGTTTTTTTCACATCTAGATTAAGTGTATGCTTAATCACTTTTCTTTCTAAAATACTGTTTCAAAATGTAGCATGACCCAAAAAGTCATAGCCATGTAACAGTTACCTATCATTTTAATTTGAATAATCTATTAATTATGAATTTTTAATAGATTTAGAGAGTTATCTAAATCCGCTAATGAAAAGAAGAAATAAAATGTGAAAAATCCTATAATACAAAAAAAAGAAATTAAAATTAAAGAAGAAAGAAGAAATAAAATGGGGAAAAAATCCCCTAATAAAAGGAAGAAATCAAATAGGAAACAAAAAAACCCTCTAATAAAAAGAAGAAATAAATCTAATATTTATTTTTCCTAATAAAATTTATCCTTATCCATTCAATTTCTCTCAATGCACGATTTGGACCTTTAATTGAATAGCATATAGCGCAAAAGGCCTTAATTATTTTGGGTTTTAAATTATAGGCCCATTAATATTGTAAAGTCCAACATCAAATTTATCTTTCCGCTCCCCTATAATTTTAGGTGAAAATTAACCCGCGAAACCATAAAAATTCGAAGAGCAAAAATAAACCTCTCAGATTGCAGAATCAAAAAAAAATTGAGAAAAAGAGAGAGACGAAGTGGAGAGCTCTAATGGCGGAATTCATCTCAGTGGTGAGATTTTCAATTCTGTATAATTATTTCGCATTTTTGTGAATTTGTTGTTGAAATTTATGGACATTTAGTGGTGGAATTTGAGTTTGTGAGTTTGAAATCTCCGGTTAATATTTTCTAGCAGAAACATGGATACTCTGATTCAACATCTCCCATTTCCGGTGAGTGATTAATAACTAGGTTTAATATCTCTCTTACAATTTCTAGGTTTTTCTGACATTTTTAATTTTGGGTATTTTTGTTACAGAACCACCAGATATCACGAATTGGTTTCCCAGTTATGTCTACGAATCGTTACCATTGTCTTCTTCAATCAATGAAAGTGAAAACGAAGTAGATGTGGTGAACAAAGTAAATCTTGGTGGTGTTATTGATGAATCACTTCCTTCTGGTAAACTCTCTTTTGGTTGATTATTGTGAATTTATGTGCTATTGATGGATTTGTTAGTAACTTTAATCTGTTTTGGTTCCTTTGTTTCTCAGAACCTCCTGATTTAGCTAATTGGTTTTCGAGCTATGTCTATGAATCACCGGTGCTGGATACAAGTGATGTTCTTGAATTGTACGTTCCTGGAGAAAGTGAATGTGTAAAGGAGACCGAAATAGATAATGAGACGCCAAAAATTGAAAGAAACCATGTTTGTCCGAGGTTATTTGAGCAAGAACTTGTCTCTTCTACAAAGGTATTGCTATTGAAGTACTGACTTTTACTTCCTATGCCAGTTACATCTGTAGATTTTCTTAGCTCTTAAACCGGCTGATGAATTAGTCTCCTTGTAGGTTACAGATTTCTCGCAGTCGGAGTCTGTTATTTCGGGTGAGTAAAGGCACTTGTTTTTTGTATATGTTAGTGATGTTTGATTTCTTATAATGTGTTATTAAAGTGACTCAGATTTATTGTTAGAAGAGCTGAATCTTACATGATTTACTTCTTGTTCTATCAGAGCCTCCTGATCTTAGAAACTGGTTTTCAAGCTATGAGTATCAATCTCCTCAGATGTCAGAAATTCAAGAACTTGGATTTTCTTCTTTTGAGAAAGATGAGTTAGTCATTGAGGAGAGTGACACAGAGGACAGAATTAGTTCTGGTATATTTCGAAAACTTAAGAGCAAGCAAGAGAGTATTGGTCTTGGCAGGTTAGATTCAAATGACTACAAGGAAAACATAGCCGCAGACACAGTAAGTTATGTTCTTGTCATTACTGCACTTTAAAGTCTACAAGCTTGCCACCACATCCGTAGTCTAAAGAAAGAAACTAGTGTGGATCACTGTTATATTAGATGAAATCTAGTTGTCAGCTATTTTCAAGGGCACAATTTTGTGTTGACTTTAGATTCTGTTAGTTCTCACTGATTCTTTCTCGATTCTACATGTTAGGCCAAGGAGGTCTCTTTAGACAATGCATATTCAGACCAAGAAATGGAAAAGAGGTCATCAGTTGGATTGTTGAATGCCTCAAAGAAAGAAGCGAAACAAGAATCAAGCTTCAAGCAGGAAGCATTATTATGTGAACCACAAGAAGAAGCAAGGTTTAGCCCCAGAGTTTCCAGCTACAACCCAAAACCCAAATCACCTTCGAAGAACAACGCTTCTTTACATGAGTTGAGACCAATACATATCCAAGAATCCATCTCCATGAACACCAACAGACAAATGTCTCCAATAGACCAAGAATCAGATGACAAGGAAAATGTTAACGGACAAAGCAGTGAAACTGGATTTGTGACCATGAAAAAGGCTAGATTCAGAGAAGCAAGAGACCAATGTTCCCTGAAGAAACCAAATAGAGTAGTTCTCATGAAGTGTTCGAGTAGTAAAGAGTTAAAGAATATCGCTGGGGAGGAAGACAAAGAAGAAAGAAACAAGAAGAGAAAAGTTTTGGGGGAAATGTCTAATCACCAGTCCTCTGGAGCTGAAGAGATCGCAGGAAAATGGCGTTGCCCGCAGAAGAACAAAAGGAAGATAGTTCCACCATTGAAGCAGCTTCGACTTGACGCATGGATACATAAAGTCTGAGTCTTTGAGTAGTCTTCACCAAACAATGTAATTGCATTCTTTCCCCTCTCTTTTGTATTCCTCCATGTTAATAAGCTGAGCCTAACCAAAAAATAACCCGAACCGGATCAGACCTGATATAATTTCGTTTTATTCTTTCAATTTTTGACTACTTGGAACCTAAACCGAAATCGAGAATGATTCGGTACATCACACTGGCGGGAAAAGGGGATTTTCATACCCGTACTATCGGGACCGTGGATTTTTATACCTCGACATTTTTGCAGTGTATTTTCCAACCCAAACTGAAATAAAATTTGAATTTCATACCTGAATTTGATAAAACGAGCAAAAAACGGAGTCAATCTAACGGGTGTTAGTCAACTCCGTTACGGTGCTGAGTCATCGTACACGTGTACGCTTACGTGTATCCCATACGACGTCGTTTTGTTAATTGTTCTCAAAAGTTTTAATTTTTTGCAAAATCGGGGTTTCGAACCCGTGTCCCTTGGCCCAACATCGACAATGGTATGTACCCTTTTGCTTGGGCTGTTGTTGATGTGGAGAATGAGGATAACTGGACCTGGTTCATAAAGAAGCTCCAAAAAGACTTTAATCTGCAAGAGGGTCAAGGATATACGGTTATATCTGACAGACAAAAGGTATATATATACTAATCTTATCTTTTGTATATGTTTTACTCTTATCTAATCAATAAGTTTTACAACTTGTAGGGCTTGCTGAATGCAGTAGAGAGAGTCTTACCTCATGTTGAGCACAGAATGTGTGCTAGGCACATATATGGCAACTTGAAGAAGGTCTTTCCTAACCAAAGTGAAGTGAAGACTCTGTTTTGGAGAGTAGCAGATAGTTACACGGGATCTGAATATGAGGCAAGTTTGGAAGCAGTGAAAGCTTATGATATGCGACTATATGATGCCATCATGGAGAGAAACCCACGAAATTGTAGTAGAGCTTTCTGTCAACCCACAGCTCAATGTATTGATGTCCACAACAACATATCAGAGTCTTTCAACAATGCAATTGATCCAGCAAGATACATGCCACTTGTTGAGATGTTGGAGACATTAAGGAGAAGAACCATGGCTCGTATTGATATAAGGAAGACAAAAGCTGAGAACCATCCCGGCAGATTTACTCCCAAAGCAATGGAGTTCTTAGAGGAAGAAGCAAAGAAGATTAAGTTCTGTAGATTTGTCTCAAGTAGAGATGGTAAATTTGATGTTCTTGAAGGTGGTGTAAGTCATAGTGTGAATCTTAGCCTGAGAACATGTGTATGCAGGAGATGGGATATGAGTGGAATTCCATGTCGTCATGCTTTGCGGGTCATCACAGAGAAGAAATCACTCAATCGTGAAGATTTCATATCTGAATGGTATTTGAATTTCAGGCAGCAGTGTATTTACAGTGACACCATTGAACCAGTCAATGGTTTGTTATTTTGGAATAAATCAGGTTCTGTTGTGGTGCCACCTCCTAGCTTAGTTGAGCAGATTGAAAACAGAAAAGGGAGGAAACCAAAGCCAAAGAGGAAGAAAGCAAGGCATGAGTCTCCTACAAAGAAGAAGAAGGCTAGTAGAGAGAGAAGAATTATGCATTGTGCTCTCTGTGATCATGTTGGACACAACAAAAAAAAGTGTCCTAATGGAGGAGTTGAGAGATACAAACCACCAAGGAAGAAGAAGACACCTGCCACAGGAGATGGAGAAGATGGAAATGAGACCAATAACACTCAAGCAAGTCAAGCAACACAAGCAAGTCAAGCAACACAAGCAAGCCAAGCAACACAAGACTAATCGGGGTAGGCTTTAGGTTAATCGGATCATGGATTTTTTTGGTTCTAAAATGATCAGATTAAGTTGGTTTTTGTTTAGGCTGATCGGATCGGATTAACAAGACATTATGATCTGTTTTGTGCTGGTACTATGTATGCTTTTGGCAAGACTATGATCTGTTTTGTGTTTTGTTTTCATGTCTTCTTCAAAACAATATGCTTTTCAAGACAATATGATTTCTTTTTCTTCTCAATCATTACACAAACCCAAACACAAACATCATTCATACATATAGATTCTCATAATTCAAAACACATCATTCTTTTAGTACAAAAGATTCAATTCGAAACCCAGATTCAATTCGAAACCCTAGAATTTTTATTTTTCCCCCAATTGAACGTTTGATTAATTTCCAAACACAAAACGTTCAAGGTTTATAACTTAAAATGATTTACAAATGTTCGATTAGAGTTGTGGGATGAATTGGTAAAGGTGCTCGATGTTGGGCCAAGGGACACGGGTTCGAAACCCCGATTTTGCAAAAAATTAAAACTTTTGAGAACAATTAACAAAACGACGTCGTATGGGATACACGTAAGCGTACACGTGTACGATGACTCAGCACCGTAACGGAGTTGACTAACACCCGTTAGATTGACTCCGTTTTTTGCTCGTTTTATCAAATACAGGTATGAAATTCAAATTTTATTTCAGTTTGGGTTGGAAAATACACTGCAAAAATGTCGAGGTATAAAAATCCACGGTCCCGATAGTACGGGTATGAAAATCCCCTTTTCCCTCACACGGGCATTGATTTGGTACCGGTCACGTCCCGGTACAGCATTTCTTGTTGCAGAGTCTTTCTTGGTTTCTACTTTCTAGGACTGGAGAAGAGTTTTTTTTTCAGACAGAGCAAATCTTTTCACAAAGGTTTTTTTGTTTTTCTTCATTTTTGACGAGAAAAGGAAAGGTTTTTAAAAATCGGAACTTGGGTCCGTGAGAAAAGTTTTCGAGGTTTAACGGGTCGGAGTCGGAGAAGATGAGCTTCGTCAAGTATCTCCGCCGAGACAGTTTGCTCCAATTAGCCGGAAAATCATATCTTAGCCGTAATTACATGCTTCAGACCTGCCGGAGTCTTATAATTGAAACCAGTCCGCCTGAATTTGTCAAGCTTAATCGTCTATCTGGTTCCGATTCCGGTAATTCCACATTTCCTTATCAACTTGCTCTGTGTTTCTTTGATTCTTATTATTGGGTGGTACTGTTGGTTCTTAAGAGTGATCTATAGCAGTTCGTTCACTCTCTTAGGGTTTAGGAAGATGAGTTATTCTTATCAGGGATATGAAATTGTGTCACCGTGGTTCTTAATTTACTTGCTTGTTTACTACTACTGACTCAAACTCAAGACAGTATCATCTGATCAATTTATGATCTCTAATGTTTTGGAGACTTTTTGAATGTACACAACATCTGTTATCACCGTGTTTGGACAAACCTGTGCTAAAGGAAAGTTACAATAATACTGCTTGTGTGTTTAATGATTGACAGGTATAATCGAGGTCAATCTAGATAGGCCTGTTGCCAAAAATGCTATTAATAAGGAGATGCTGAAAAGTCTCCAGAACGCATTTGAGTCCATACATCAAGATAGTTCAGCTAGGGTTGTGATGATCAGAAGTCTGGTTCCAGGAGTTTTCTGTGCAGGTGCAGATCTTAAGGTAGTTTTGCCACTGTTATTTCTTTTGCTAATGTTTACATTCGATTGGTTAGCCATGCTTGAAAATTTCTGTTTTGTTTTAATTTGCTTGGATGTCAGGAGCGTAGAACTATGAGTCCATCTGAGGTTCATACATATGTCAACTCGTTGCGCTACATGTTCTCGTTCATAGAGGTATATTCTCATATATCATTGTTTGTTCTCATAGGTTAGCTGCTATTGTCATCTATGGAAAGATTGTTGGGTAAAGTTAATGGTTAACCTAAAGTATGTTTGACATTAATGTATACAATCTCTTATCAAATCGTTAGAACGACTTACTACATTTGTAGCTCTAGCTTTATCAAGATTCGGAATTTAATAGTCTTCAAACTTAAAGTGAAGAGGAGTGTATAGTGGTTCTACTGATATGAAATTGTTTTAAGTACTTGTTTCTTTATTTGTGTTCCTTTGTTGCTATGTCAAAGCTCTAGATTTTGGATCTTAGTGAGATTTGCATGCTATAGTGACTTAGAATTGTGTTTATAGGCATTGAGTATCCCAACTATTGCTGCAATAGAAGGTGTAGCACTGGGAGGTGGACTCGAAATGGCTCTAGCTTGTGATCTTCGAATCTGTGGTACATTTCTGGTCATTTTTTAATTATAATCTACAGGCCAAGATAAGCAGTTATGGTTAATACTCGGGAACTCTCAGGCGAAAATGCAGTATTTGGCTTGCCTGAAACAGGACTCGCTATAATCCCTGGGTATATAATAAGCTTCATGACTCTTGACAAATGATTTCTCTTATTACCCTTTTCATTATTCTTCTGATAACTTATTTCTTTTGCTTCTATTTAGAGCTGGAGGGACACAGAGGCTCTCGAGGCTGGTTGGGAGATCAGTATCAAAGGAACTTATATTCACAGGTCGAAAGATTGATGCAATAGAAGCTGCAACTAAAGGTCTGTGACTATTCAAGTTTCATTTCTTGTGGTTTTGTTTTGGCAATGTACCCAAATAAAAATTGATTCATATACTCTCTTTTTTATTTGTGTGGTTTAGGGCTTGTGAACATTTGTGTTACGGCAGGTGAGGCTCATGAGAAAGCAATTGAAATGGCTCAGCAGATAAATGAAAAAGGTCCATTGGCTATAAAGATGGCGAAAAAAGCGATTGATGAAGGAATTGAGACGAATATGGCTTCGGGTTTGGAAGTAGAAGAGATGTGTTATCAGAAGCTTCTTAATACTCAAGATCGTCTTGAAGGATTAGCTGCTTTTGCTGAGAAGCGTAAACCTCTTTACACTGGTCAGTGAACACCTTAAGAGAAAGGATCATTAGATTCCAACAAATTTAGTTTCAATAACCATTGATAACCGGGATGGTTTAGGGTCTAAATACATTATCACTGTTTTTGTTTGTGCAATTTATGTGGCTGTAATCAAAAAGGAAAGAAAAACCAAAAAGGAAATAAGGAAAGAGCACAAGTTAATAAGAAACTTAAGTTGGTTAGAAACTTAAAACCAGTGGTTATACTTTATGCGTATGTTTGAAGCTAATAGTTGAATTCAAATGTTCTTATGTGAAGTTTGTTTTATAAAAAAGATTGATTGTCAAAAGAAATCTTAAAAAGAGTCGACAAAAGTAGCCGACCAGTGATCCACCGCCCAACCAAAGTGGTGCCAAAATGATGTGTTGATGATTAGACAAATTTTCCAGTTTGACCTGTCAAATTTATTTCAGTGATTCTTATTAATGGATGAGGATAAAGAACATAAAGTGCTAGAGAAAATTATACAAGATACATACTTTTATATAGAGATAATTTTTTTTATGTAAAGATGAGATTAATATAAAATTTATAAAATATAAATATAAATAAAAATAATATCTTAGATATTGGTAAATATAATGATCTTCTAAATTTTTTTATTTATAATTTTCATATTTTTTGGCAATCATCTGAGTGTTGATTTTGGTAGATCTTCAGTTCTTCTAGTAATTCTTAACTAATCATAAAAAAAATCTAAAACCACATTAATAAAACTTATGTTTCATTTATCTAAAAAAAATTATGTATGGAGTAACCTCGGATTCGTAAAACAGTTTTAGAACGTCTAGTGTTGAGTCTACACAGTAATTTTAGATTCTAAACTTTAAACCCTACCAATTCAACAACATAACACAATAAGATAAATTCGTTTGTTCTATTCCTTTTTCTTGATTTTCAAAGTTTATTATATTCACAAAGTATAGATACCTTATCGAAAAGTTTAAATTTAGTGAAAGAAAAGGAATCGTTATTTTAATGTTAGATAGATGTTGTAATTAATTATATGATTTATGTCTTTGGTCTGTAATTGTAGTGTTTAGTTTTCACTTTTCAGACAACTACTGCTGCGTTAAAATAAAAAAGCTTAGCGTAAATAGACCAAAAGAAGGGAATCCAGATTCCTCCGGGGTCATATGCCTACGCGACCTAATCGTATTATCAATTAATTGATCTATTTATTCTACACCAACCGATAATCTGGGTCGGCTAAAGCAATAAAGCCATTTTGTGTAATTCATGCACTACATCCAAATTAAATTGAATTGGGACAAAAATAATAATCTAACGGCACTGATAAATATCGCAAAACTACAAACCTTTCTATGTAAAATTTGGATCATCTAGACAGTTTTAAGTAGCGATTCTCTAGTCGTTGTCAAATAATCAAAATAACGTTAGAATAGTATTAGAAACCAAAAATAAAGTTAGGAGTGATTCACACATCAACTTGGTTTTCAGATTTTGTTCTCTTCAATCTCTTTCTTCTTCTTACAATGTTTTTTTTTGTTAGTAGAAAAAAGAAAAAGAACTTAACCTCTAAGTCTTAGCATTTCCACTAACTTATCTCTCTCTCTTCTTTCATTACCAAAATAAAGAACCTTTACAAGTTCTCTACACAACACTCACTTTTTCTCTCCAATGGTGGAAGCAAGAAGCTCAAAGAAACCAACCCAATTGGGAAATAAAGAAGATCAAAACCCTAGACAATTCTACTCTCGATTCCTCTTTAAAGCTCTTATCCTCACCGTGCTTTGCGCCGTCGTACCTGTCTTCCTTTCTCAGACGCCGGAGCTTGCTAACCAAACAAGACTCCTAGAGCTTCTCCACCTAGTTTTCGTCGGCATCGCCGTCTCTTACGGCCTTTTCAGCCGCCGGAACTACGACGGAGGAGGAGGCGGAGGAACAAGCAATAGTGATCACAACAAAGCTGATCATAGTAATAACAATTCGCATTCATATGTGCCTAAGATTCTTGAAGTATCCTCTGTTTTTAACGTGGGTAACGAGAGCGAATCTGAACCGTCCGATGATTCCTCCGGCGATCAACGTAAGTTTCAGACATGGAAGAACAAGTATCACATGAAAATTCCTGAGGTTGAGACTCGTTTCGTTGAGCGAGTAAGTTCAGAGATCAGAGAGAAGCCTCTGCTTTTGCCGGTTCGGAGCTTGAATTATCCTCGTGTTTCTGATTCCTCCGGCGATAATTCCGGTCGATGGGAGAAAGTGAGATCTAAGAGAGAACTTCTGAAGACTCTCGGTGATGATAATAGTGATGTGCTTCCTTCTCCGATTCCATGGAGGTCAAGATCATCATCATCAAAGGAGGTTGAATCTCTACCGTCCATTAAGAATATGACTACAGTTGAATCACAGCCGTTGATCAAGAATCTGACACCATCTTCTTCTTTCTCTTCTCCAAGAAAGTCGAATCCTTTACCTAATCTCGCATCTCAGATTCATCCATCTCCGCCACCTCCTCCTCCTCCGCCGCCACCTCTACCGGCGTTTTATAACTCATCGTCGAGAAAAGAGCATCCCGGAATTTACAGGGTTGAGAAGAGAGAATCATCAGTTCACAAGACAAAATTTGCAGGAGGTGAGGTTCATCCTCCGCCGCCTCCACCACCACCACCTCCGGTGGAATATTATAAGTCAGCTCCGACGAAATTCAGACTAGGCAGCGAAAGGAGAAAGTCTTCGGAACAAAAGATGAAAAGAAACTCATCTAAAAAAGTTTGGTGGTCCGATCCAATTGTGGAATCGAGGCAACTGAGGAATGATCAAAGAAGTTTCTTGGGAAGCAAGGCAACTGAGGAATCGGAAAATGAACAACATAGAAGAAGAGAAAATGAAATCCACGACGAGGTTGAGAAAAAGATAGTAGAGGAAGAAGGAGTTAGTGAGAGCAACAATGGAAGTGACGTGGACAAGAAGGCAGATGAGTTCATTGCAAAGTTCAGAGAACAGATTAGGTTACAGAGAATCGAGTCTATCAAGAGATCTGCTAATAAGATCTCTGCAAGCTCCTCGAGGTAGAACATATTCAATATTTTAATAATAGGGAAAAAAACATTTTCAGTTGATGTTGGTAATCATCACAAGGTTGTAATATTTTTGTTACATTTTATTCAGCCAGGAAAAAACTGGAATGGAGTTTTTATGTGAATTAAAAGTCAGATTTGAGTATAACTCTCTTTGTTTCTGGTTGCACATGAATCTTTTTTTTTCTTGGTATGTTTTTCTGTGCGGGAAAAACTTAATAGATTAATGATCCGATGGGAAGAGACTTGCCTCTAAAGAGAGTGAATCCAACATAAAGTTGCTTACATAGGAAAACAAAAACCTCATGCTCTTGTCTTTTTAGTGAAGCCATTTTTAGGCAAGATAGATTTATGCTCAAATAAGCTTATTGAGATAGATAATAAGCTATGAAATTTAATAGCTCATGAGGAGCTTTGTTGTACAAACAAACTACAAAGGGAAAGATTAATTGAAAAACACACAAGTTTAGTAAATCTTTGATTGATATATCACAAAAAGGTTAAGAATGAGAGTTATTCCAAATGGCAACTCTATAGGTTAGTTTCATTGTTCTTATTACATGGTTATAAGCGACTATTTGCTTAGATAACCTAATTACATGGGTTCGTGTTAGACTTTTCCCATGTCATAAACTTATATTCTTGGTTTTGTTATGAGTGCTCTAAAATTTAGCAAGCCAATTAGTACGATTATTATTACATAGCTTCATGGAATCAAATATATCCAAAATACGTTAAATGTATCCCTAAAGTAAAGAAAATTCATCTAACTCCGTCAAAAGGCTTGCCAATCCGATTGATTGATCGATCGATCATCTAGCATTTTCAACATCTTAGAGCAGTCCAATTCAAATACTTCAAAAAAAAAAAAATCTCTTTCAACATGACACATTTCATCGCCCAAATCAGAGTTTGTGATTTAACATGTGTAGTGAGGATAAGCACTTTCGTGAACCTTTCAAACCAAAGACGCGAAGTGGCCCATAACCTCCATGTTCAATAAGGCCTAAATTTAGCCCATACTCATGTATGACCATACGGTAATGCCAGAACATTTCGGCCCAAAGTATATAAAAGCTAGTTCTCGTCATTTTAAGTTTCTACCAAGAAAAAAACAAATCCTGAAAAACTTACAGAAATTTCAACTAATTTTAGTAGACTATTTAATATTTTAACATAGCCACATGAAACAACAATTTGGACCATTATTTTTCTTTTGCATTTTCAACATCAATTGTACTTCTCTCGTTTGTCGCTAGACACAATTAAATCTACTACGAAATAGTATTACAATAAATTTTCTTGTGATAGTTTTGTCCAAAATAATTATTGCAACAAAACAAAACAAAATGATTTCAAATCATAATATCGGATATAATTGGCTGTAAGCATTTGTTGTTACTTGTTAGCATGAACATGTATATTGGTTTAAACGAGAAAAACTATTAATCTGTTTTCTTTCTTTCTAAAAAAATACATACATGTTAACAACTACATGCATATCTGGTCCCTTAAACTTAATAAAATGACCGAAATGCCCTTTAGTTGCAAGTAAAAGACTTTATGACCTAGGACGAAGAGCGTCAAAAGTCAAGCCATGAGATATCCTCGTCGCAGGAGCCCACGCATTGACCGGCAACGACCGGTGGTGCGCTGACGTTGCAGCCTGAGGTGGTGGTGGTGGGACAGACACGTGTTCACATGAAGGGCACATGGTCAAAGTAGTGGGTGGGCTCATATGCATGTAGAACTGAGGAGAGAGCTTAAGTGCTCTTAACTCCGTTACTTCTTTCTGTAGCCGACGGTTCTCTTCCGTTAGATTCTCGCAGCATCGCCGTAAGAACTCGCAGTCAACCTCCGTCTGCTTCAGCTTTGTTCTGTTAAAGTTACCAAAATACCCTTATTAACAAATAGATAAACCAGGGGTAAATCGGGAAAATAGAGAGATCTTTCGTTTGTGTGTGTTTTTTTTGTGTACCTTGCTCGTCTGTTCTGAAACCAAACTTCCACTTGTCTTGCTCTTAATCCTAATTGCTTAGCCAATGCTTGCTTCTGCTTCTGTAAGAAGTTGAAAATAACCTTGATTTCAGTCTAAATTTACGAAAATGCCATTTACAAATTAATATCTGCATTTATGAGTGACCAAAACCAATACTAGTAATGTTTTTTCTTTGTCAACAAGTAATAATAGTCATGTTGAATACAATAAAGTGAATATTCATTTACGCGTTTTTTTCGTTTCCACAATAATCATGGCCATTAATTTCCCCGGTAAAAAACAAAATTTTCTCGGGTAAAAAAATAAAGTAAAAGAAGAAAAAAAAATTACCGGATTGAGAGTACTGTGATCTTTGAAGGTCTCTTCAAGAATAACAGATTGATCTTTAGAAAGTCTAAGCTTTTTCCTGGAGTTATCACCATCTTCATCGTCACTGATTCCTCTTGAGCCTTGTGGATCTGTGTCTTCTTCTCTCTCGCTTCTTTTTCCTGTAGAGCTTGAGACGGTACTGTTGGGGGAAGATACTCCGGCGTCTTCGTCGCCGTATTCCGCCGTCGACGGTGGTCTGTTCACGTCAATTCCACGGATGAAGGTTCTTGTTTCTTTTTGTGATGAATCTGAGTTTGGAACTGCATGCATAAGATTGAAAGAAAGATAAAAAAGGTGAGACCTTTAAGGTTTTTCGATGGATGTATTTTTCTTAGGAAAGCGGAAAAAAGGTGAGACCTTTAAGGTTTTTTATTTTCTCGGGGAAAAAAAACAGAGGAAACCAGAAAGCTATGAAGTACCTGAAGAAGTAAAACTCTCGTTCCAGGAGGATCTTCGGAGTAATCCTAGAGAAGAAGGAGTAACAGAAACAGAGGGATTTGTTTTGAGATTGATTTGTTTCTTTGGAAAATTCAAGCCTAAGCTTAGACCCAGATCGTCTTTCTCCAACATCATCTTTTGTTGAATTTTCTCAAGAAAAAAAAAAACTCTGTTTTGCAATAAAGTTGTTTGCTTTTCTTTTGAGAGAGAGAGACAGAGGAAAGATGATGAATGGGCAAGTAAAGGAAGAAGAAGGGTTAATATATAGAGGTATAGAGAGAGAAATTGATGTTATTGTATTTTTTATTTTTTGCAATCATGAGTGTGTGACTAGCTGAGGGCAAAATAGTTATTATTATTAAAGTCAATAAACTATTGAAACTTTAGTTCAATGGAAATAATTTTATAATCACAAACTTTGCTTCTTTGTCCCCCTCTAACTCTCTCAAACCTAAACAAATTATCAAATCCAAGAAAGATGATAAAATAATAATTATAGTCGCACCATTAATGATTAATGTTAATATATTAATGTTTATGTAACATCAATTTTCTCAGTCAAAGATGATTATCAAACTATCACTAATAGATAATTTTTAGGATTTTCATATGACTTTTAGTGGACAAACTAATAAAAAAAAATATTAGGCGAGAACAAAATCTAATCGTAGTTATTTTATTTTGATTTTGTTTACTTTGTTTGTTTTAAACGTTTGGATGTATTACTTTTCGTTTTGTTTCAATCAAATGTTCTAGTGTAGATAATTGATTAGATTTTTAAGTTGTGAGAATATATGAAGTCAAATAAAATGAAATCCTCTTTAATACGTAATGAAATTAGACCTTTCATTTTTGGATATTAATTACTATCTGCAACAAATAAACCTTATAATTAATTAAATTAGTAAGTTACGATGCAAAGCCAACAATTGTTAGTCAAACTTTTATAATTTCCATGGAATTTATCAAATTTTTGCGATGATTTGACTTTATTTTATAGGATTATTAAAAGTAGAAATGATAATGCAAATCATCCTTGTGATTGCTGTTGTCGAGAAAGAGTAAAAAAAATGATTACTCTTTTTAGAGCATGATTATCCAAGGGCTCTTAATAATACTTCTTAAAAATATTTAAGTAATAGTATTTTTTTTGTTCCACCTCTTAACTTTTTTTTTTGTTCCTTAGCTAAAAAACACTTCTTAGCTTAAAGGCACTTTTGAGAATAAATATAATCAATTAAATGCTAACATAATCTTAAGATTTTCTTAAGAGACTACCTATAATCAGGCCTCTAATAACTCTAAAAGCCAAAGAATCACGCTTGTTGCACACTTTGAAAACCTTTTACTTTAACTAGGTGAATACCCGCACTACGTGCGGGTTTTTTTATTTTACAACTTTACAAATTAATTTATATAAAAAAATTTGTATTAAAAATTGCCAATTATTTGTAAAATGTAAATGTAATTTTCATTTATCAAATAAAAAAATACAACCAGTTTCTGTTCTTAAAGAGTCGAGCTATATTGATGCATTTGAAAAACCATAACTTTGAAGATTTGTTTATTCAATATTTATATGCTTTTTGTGTTTTTTTAATTATTGTATGCTTTAGAAAGAAGAAAAAAAACGTAGCAACTTTATTCAATGTTGATGTTCTTGGATAGCTTACTTTTGTTAGTGTCACAATCTAATATCAGTAGTAATAAGGCTATAAAAAACACCTTGCAAGTTGTTTTATCCTCTAGCTTATAAATCTCGAGGAGTTTAGATATAATAAATCTCAATGTACATTTTTTCCAGGAGTATAAAGGTTGAAGGTAATTGTTACTACATACAGTATAATGAGTTCTTTCAATACATTAGGAATTGTTATGATAGAATAGAATTAACTCGGTAGAATCATTAAAAGCATACCTACCTAAAAAAAATTCCTTCAACTCTTATGTTCAGATTTCGAGAACAAGCATACGATCAAAACAAGTGTCTCAATGATAAACTGTACCACAACAAAATAAATCCCATCCAATACTATAAACTTTTTAACATTTCCCATTTCCATCACTACCCCAACCTTCTTCCAGAAAGGTCTTAGAACGAAAATTGGTTTAGACTTTTTTTTTCTTATGTCCATGACTATTGATATAAATACATACAAATCAAGCATAAAGTGTTAGGAGAGCTCAAAAATTTGTAGAGACCTTTTCTTATGTGTCGGATGAGGTCTTCCATCATCTAATGCAACCACATTTATCTTTTATTGTCCCATCATGTTGTTTTTTTAATCATCTTCTACCAGTCTAAAAATTTATCAAGACAATGGAAAGTCATTGTCAA